ACCGTACAAGCGCAGGTCAGCCTCTTTAATATGTAGATCACGTGCAAGATTTTTTATTTTAAAATTAGAATGTCAGTATTCAACATCAACAAGCAAAATTCATTTCCAATCCAGAAAAATCTATTGACTTGCCCAGCTTATATTGGATATCTATTAAAGATGCATATAACATCATATAAAGGCTCATTAATATCAGATTAATCCAAGTGCTCAACCCCCCCCCCCCAAAAAATGCTATGTCTTATCATGTATTCCTTCTACTTCTAAAATACTGCTATGTTATATTTTTTAGGATATTGCAGAACAATTTTTGAGAACACGTAAAGGACACGTGATCATTCATTTTCACTATAAAGTTTGTTGGTACATCAACATTCCTTTCATCAGTATCTTTGTACGATATATAGAAAACACAGAACCAAGTTGTTCTGCCTCATATCTTGATATCCTTCTTGAATTTGACTCTAAAGTCATCCTTTCGACTAGACTATATGAAAAAAGATATGGATTTGATTTTATAATCTTCAAATTCCCCTATCTTTGTACTAGTATCCCTCGTTCGCATATGGTGTATAAATTTCCCAGCTTGTTAGGATATGCTAGAGCTTGCATTGGTTATTGTGATTTTGTGAAACGTCACAGACTCCTGTCGTCCGCAAACTGCTAAGTTTTTTTTTTTTAAAGAGATTTTCGTATCTCAACATTAAGCGTTTTTATGGAAAATATCATATATATTGTTAAAAGAGAGTAGTCGCCGCGCCGCGCATGAGCGATATTGGTGTTGATAAACATGGATTTTCCCACTATCCAATGCGCTCTTTTAATAGAAATCACAAGTATGAGGTTTGACCTGGGCGGGACTTGCACTAATTACCGCCGGAGACTCCTTCGATACCTTGCAATCACCTAAAAATACCTAATTAAAGCTTGGTGACGTCCCAGTTTGTACGCGTTGATCTGCGCAACAGCCAAAGTCGCCATCTTTGTTTATGTGAGACCCATATATTTCGCGCATGCGTGGCGCGACGACTACCGCCCTTAACAATATTCGTAAATTCTGAAGTTACCAATGACTGACACTGTAAGAAAACAAAAGCACGCCAGTAAATGTCATTGATACTTAGTCTGTAACTACTTTTTGAGTATGTTTATTTGAATATGTTCAATGGAGAAATTTTACCAATTTCAAACAAAAAAAGAATATGCTTTTAGATATTGAGAAAGAAGCATGGAATTTCACACTCACCGTGTAAACAAACATGTTCATGGTAAAACGCCGTCTTGATTGAGAGATGAGAGTTCACTCAGAAAAAAAAAACAGTTTTCCGTGTACTAGTCTGGGGCACTAACTATGCCGACCCTACTTTAGGTCATTTTTTATTATCCAAGAAACGTTCCGAGCGCCTGTGGTCTGGGGCATGGAATGCGAACATAATAATTATACTTACATGGCAATGCAACACATATGGTTGATCATGAAGGCATTGCCAGTCGCCCCTCGAAATCCGCCCTTGGTTGCATACACCGTTAGCCGTATGGTATAACTGAGAGTATCATAACCGTTGGCGGCGCTATAAATTCGCTGTCATATATGCCGACAACACAGTCCTTTTATCGAAATAAAAAAATAGGTTTATAAATCAGTCAAGACAAGCCATGTACACCTCAAAATAGCATTTAACAGTAAATACGCAAAAAAAAATAATAAAACTAATTTTAATAAATTAAATAAACTTTAAATAAATGAACAATTTGTTTATACGAAGAAATATAAATTTACACGATACGATAATCTCGGCTTAAAGCGTAGTAGTCGTTGCGCTGCGCATGTGCGAGATATGGGTCTCATATAAATAAATATGGCGACTTTGACTGTTGCGCAGATCAACGAGTACGAACTGAGACGTTTCCAAGCTTTAATTAAGTAATTTTCATGTTATTGGAAGGCATCGAAGGAGTCACCGGCGGTAATTAGTGCAAGTCGCGCCCAGGTCAAACCTCATACATACTTGTGATTTCCATTTGAAGAGCGCATTGGATTGTGGGAAAACCAATGTTTATCAACACAAATGTGGCACATGCGCAGCGCCACGACTACCGCGAAATAATGAAATAATCCAACTACGCCGTCCCTTGTGACCACACATTAAAGAATACCGCGTCCGGCGTTTTGATAACGGTTAATCAAGTGCTCAGGAAAGTGTCAGGCGATGTTACAAAGTCCCTAATTGCCCACCAGCTACGGGAGTCATGTGTATGTAAACATCTTCCGCCCGTATAGTGCATAGTGTTGTGAAAAAAAATAAATAAAAACATTGTTTCCATGAAAACGAGTCTTGTTACCCCCGGTGGTTTTTCTTCTTCAAAAAGTGAAATCGGGTAATATAGAAGTCACGACCTCTAGCGACGTAATGACTGACATGAAGGCCGATCAAATATCGTTTTGGTTTACAAGCGTTCTGTGACATCTTTTTTAGTAACCGTGGTGACATCTAAACTTTCGTGCGTCCTTGTCTGCTGATCATCAGATTTTACGAGGAGGGGACAAGGGGGTATAGCTGGTACAGGTTACAGGAAATAAAAAAAAAGGCATTTTACGTTTTAACAGAAAATAAAATAAAAGTTGTATTTACAGTAAATAATAGGGTTTTACCCTTTACATGTACAGATAAAGCAAATTCCTAATTACATTTTACATTTTTATATATTTGATAATTTATGTTTAAGAAACAAAATTGGAAATTACGTACGAATTACGACACATAATGTGTTAAGTGCTTCATACGCTTGCAAAAAATAATATCTTTGTACAAATTACGGACGACTAAAATAGCTGATTACATTTTACACCTCGCCCATGTCTACGAATTTTACAATTCGTATTTATTTAAAGCGCGAGAGTCGCCACCTGCGCATGCGTCAGATGGCCATAGCGTGTCATTGTTTATAAAATAAGCGTTTCCCCATGAGCCTTTGCGTTTTAGCATGTGTTGTTATAGTCGCTTAGGACTCAATTCCCGCGCATGCGCAGGTGACGACCCTCCCGCTTTAAATTACATTATTACTAAAATAAAAACAATTGATTACAGCTTACGAAAATACTTGCCGACCCTCTTACAAGATGTAGGTACATACAGTGCGGCGCGTTGTTGTTTGAAACACCTACTCTGATTGGACGATGGAAATAGTGAGATTTGAATGAGTTTCCTATGGGAGTTGTATCCAGGTCAACATTGTATTGTCAAAAGCTGTAAATAGCGCCACCACATGTGGCAATGGAAAACAGTTAGCAACGACTTGTTGCCATGTGATGAGAGAGGATATTCGAGAAGTGGCATATGGTGATTGACCTAAGGGGTCGTCTTACAGCCTCCTCAGTCTCGAATCCATTCTAAAGTGGAAGTTGCTGTTCTCCCAGCACTGTTGGGATGGTTCTTATCATGGAAAAACAACAGTCAGAATTAATTTGCATCATTTGAGGTTTTCACGTGTTGAGGATCTTCTGGATTCCAGTCAAGATGATTAACTGTTGTCTCCTAATCTGTCTGTACTCGTTGTTCAGCCTGAGCCGACTGCAAGACCTTGCCTCTTCCCAGCGACTAGAAACGGGAGCAGGGAACCATGGGAACACAGGAGTCGGTAGGATGTTGTTTCAATTACCCTTATTCATCACTTTCTTAAGTTTTTTTACACGCGACTTCCTTTCTCTTCCGCAATATGTTGCACATGATTTATAATCACGTATTGATTATTTGTTCTCAAAACAAATCAGCAAGATGATGATATTTCCGAGTGTTTGTAGACACTGTCACAGACATTATCAAAATATTCCTATACGCTATGATGAAAGGAGCGGGCCAGTTGTTTTCAAACTGTCTGGCGCATGTGGATCAGCGAAGCATGGAGGTATAATCTGTTTATATACCTTCATGAGCGGAGGGAGGGGAGAGGTATTTTTACTGCTGTGATTTACGTTTTTATCTTAATACCCCTATTAAATCTATCATCGATTACAGTTTACTTGTATTTCATACTACAGTGTTGACTTTGTGTGACTCAAGGCAATCAATCCAATTTTACGATAAGATGGAAAAACAAAAAACTATGGCCATAAAGTTTTCTATGAGTTGAAACAGAAAAGACAACTGAAAAAAAACACACTAAAACAACAAGACAACTGAAAAAACAAAACAAAAAACAACTTCAACGTGAACTAAGACTTCCAGACGTCCGAGCGATAAAATGTTGTTGCCCTGTGTGTTTTCACACCAAATTACTTTTCATTGTTTGCTTTATGCATTTAATAATGGTTTCATTCAATTATTTAAGCTGCACATGTAATCTGTAAATAGTGATAAATTTGAAGAAAGTCACTGTGACTTCTCACTTGTACAAACTGTACATACCTCAGGGAAATTTAACATTTTTCGCTTAGTACTTGTGAAAATTCAACTAAAAATTCACTAAACATTTTTAAATAAGCTACTTTCTGGCGGCGGCAAGAAATTTTGCATGTGGGGTGAGATCTGCTCACCAATCTCACGCTTACTAGGGGGTCCGGGGGGCATACTCCTTCTTCACAATTTTGAAATCTAGACCCTCTGAAACGCTATTTCCTGCATTTTGAAGGGCAGATTTTGCTGACACAAAGGGTTTCAAAATTTTTTTTCAAGGGGGTGACCGCCACTGCCACTGAATATGATATTATTTTTTTTTATTATT